GCCTTTAGTTCCCTAGGCCATCCTTCTTGCCCTTCTTGATGATGGGGGTGACATGCTTTCCTCCAGTTATTGGGCACTTCTCCCAGTTGCCATGACCGATCAAAGAGAATGGAGAGTGGCCTTGCTATGACATCTACCAGCTCTTGTAGGTACATCCCATCAGGGTCCAAGGACTTAAGTATGTGGAGGTTGCTAAGTATTCCCTGACCTGATCCTCATCCACCAAGGGTACGTCTTTCTTGCTCCAGCCTTTCCCCTCAGTCTCTGGGACCTGGGGTTCCTGAAGGCGAGTTCTACTACTTCAGCATCCTTTGGTTTTCACAACTGGCATTAGTTGCTGTTATCACCTTATTACCTTTTAGGTGGCTGCAAATCGATTGCTTACTAATTCATTTAATAGACGTTTTGGAGCTGAAGCGAGGCCGCCCGGGCAGCAGCTTCCCTTCTGCTCCCCTTTGAGCTGTTTCTGTCGCCCTGACTCATTTCTGCCCGCGGCTCCACTTTCCATTAACTCTTGCAAATAACGACCACTGGCCTTCAAATGGTGTGGGCTGAATTGTGTCTTCTGCTCCTCAGGTCTCCGGTGACAACGAGTCCTTGTAGTATTGAAACTACGGGAAGAAGAGCCGTTGGACGCTTCAGTGGTAGGAGATGGTTATTTTTGCCCTGCTCGCCCTTGGTGTACGCTCAGAGAGCTTTCTCTTGGTGCCAGAAGGAGCTGCCAGGCTCCCACTCGCCAACATACGTAACTTTAAAAACCTTTTTTTTTTTTCCTTGTCCACTGTTTTCCTCTCCCTTGCTCCTATGGGAAAGGTCACGGAACAGGGGCAAAAAAGGAAGGAAAATATAATTTTTTCAGATTTGAAAGGCAAACGGCCCCCCAACGTGCTGCAGGAGGAACGCAAAGCGAGGGTCTGACAGCGGGGCGCCGGGGGGTGCCCGGGGGTGGGTGGGCAGAGTCCCCCGCTCCCCGCTCGGGGTGTCCCGGCGCGCTGCGCCCATCACCAGCCGGGTCGACGGGTTTTGCTGTCAGCTGGTCTCTGTGGCGCAATCGGTTAGCGCGTTCGGCTGTTAACCGAAAGGTTGGTGGTTCGAGCCCACCCAGGGACGCGGCGTCACTTTTTGGGGTTGGTTGTTCCAAAGACCAAGGGGGCCTACAACTTCTTTTCCTTCCCCTCCGGGGGAGGTTTCACGGCGGGTTGGTCCGGCCGGAGCCGCCCGGATGCCGCTGGGAGCTGCCCGGGAGCGGCGGTGGCCCCCGTGGCCTCATGCTCTGCCGAGCCGAAATTCCCCAGTGGCCGGCGCCGGTCGCGCTGCCTGCTCAGGGTCAAGGCGGGGCGCGGTAAAAGGCCGCACCAGCGGGAGTTTCCGTAGTGTAGTGGTTATCACGTTCGCCTAACACGCGAAAGGTCCCCGGTTCGAAACCGGGCGGAAACACTAAATTTTTTCCTCTCTCTATTTTCCGCGTCACCACAAACGTCAGCTTTCCCGACTCCCGCTTTAAAACGCGCCTGCGCTTGCCAGGCGGCCCCGCGCGGCGTGGGGGGCCATCGCCCACGGTGGGGAACACCCGCGGCCGGGCCGGGCGGGGAGTTCCGTTCTGAAGGTGATTTATTTGGAAGATGATTTATTTGGAAGATTCGGTTCATTCCTCTGCACAAACTCCCCCCCCTCTGCAAAGGGGCTTTTCCCTCCCCTGCCTGGAAAGATGACCCCCAGGAGGAGAAAGGAGCTCGTAGAGGAGCTGAAATCAGCTGAACGTCACCGGAAACGTTGGACAAAAAGTTCCAAGATGGTACGATTCCACCACCAATAATAGCATTTTCCCTGCTCGCCCCTGAGTGGCCGTAGGCGTAGAAGATGTTGGGTTAGTTAGCCCCAAACCCGCAAATTTTGGCTGGAGATAATGCCAATTAATGGTAACATTTACAGTGCTGCGGCACAAAGCGTTTAAAAATCTCATCTTCCCATGGCAAAGCAAGGCTTGAAAGCAGAGGGAAGTAAAAAAGAGGGACAAATACTCACTGAAATAGTGTAAAAAGCTGTCTTAGAAGCTCAGATGCACACATCACACATAAAAATTCTGGGCCATCCTCTCTCTAAGCCAAAGGTTGAGCACACAGTCCACCAAGAGAGGGATATAAAATAATTCGGGGCTCTCCATCTCTGGGGTTTGCATCAAAAAGTTCTGCAACAAGGACCAGTCACCAGGACCAAACCCTATTTTTCTAAGGAGGAAAGGGGAGATGTCTCCTCAGCAGGTGCTTCCACAGAGGGTTCCCCAGTGTATTGCCAACCCTTAGAGCTCATGGGTTATTTAACACGTTGCCCATTTCTAAATTGGACAGGATTTCAGCTAGGCCAAACTCTGTCTTGAATTGATATTAGGAAAAATTTCTTCACAAAAATGTTATCAAACATTGGAACAGGCTGCCCAGGGAAGTGGTGGAATCACCATCCCTGAGGGGATTTAAAAGATGGGTGGGCGTGGTGCTGAGGGACATGGTTTAGAAGTGACAGCACTAGGTTGATGATTGACTCTATGATCTTAAAGGTCTCTTCCAACCGATTTAAAAGATGGGTGGGCGTGGTGCTGAGGGACATGGTTTAGAAGTGACAGCGTTAGGTTAATGATTGGACTCTATGATCTTAAAGGTCTCTTCCAACCAAGACAACTCTATGATTCGGGAAGCTCCTTTAGACAGTCATTTACATAAAAGGGTAGTAAAGACTTAAGTCCAGGGAGAAACATCTCCTGAAGGTTTCTTCAGCCTCTCTCCAGAAAAGTAAGCTGGAGGCACCCAGGCCCACTCTATGATTCGGGAAGCTCCTTTAGACAGTCATTTACATAAAAGGGTAGTAAAGACTTAAGTCCAGGGAGAAACATCTCCTGAAGGTTTCTTCAGCCTCTCTCCAGAAAAGTAAGCTGGAGGCACCCAGGCCTACCCAGGTTACTCTTCCAGTCCATACGGCCAGGCCTACTTCTTTACACTCCTCTCCTGGAATTCACTCTCTTTCATGAGCCCCGTGGCTCCACCACCTTCTCCTGCGTGGTGCAGCTTCGGCATCTCCCTCGGAAACAGCTCCACAGCGTTCCTGCACAGCGGTGCAAAACCACACGCCGCAAAATTCCTCGGCCTCGTAATCCCGTTAACCTGATTGTCTCCCTGGCTCTGCCCGCACCCTGCCTCAGATCTATATTTAGGCTGTAAGCTCTTCCACTCCCAGACCCAATCCTGGCGGACTTTAAAGCACGGCACAGGCTTGGGGAGCTGCGTGGAGAATAATCTGCTCGGAAGGTAACACGCTTTGCTCTGAGCGTGAAGCGGCTCACGAAGAGAAGAGCAGCTGCTTAGATTTGCGAAAGGAACGGGGACAAGGAACAATCGCTCTCCCTTGATACTTTGCCAGGAAGGGAATGATTATTTAAAGCATAAAAAGCAACGTCAAGATCAAAATCAGGTTTGCAATCGGCACCACAATGAGTTTCTAGAACAGTGCCCTGGCAGGTAGACAGCTAAAAATCCATCCAGGCAGCTCCTCCGCAGATGGGCTGGTTTATTAGAGGCAGGATGAGAGAAAGCAGGAAAGCAGCCCTTTTTTCCCTTATACTCTTTGATAAAAACTGTATTAATATATCATCATGTAGTAAGATCTGAATCAGCACTACCTCCTCCGTAGAGCTGATCCTGAACTAAAAGCTGTAAATCTGTGTCACAATGGTGCCTTTCCCAAATCAGAAGACACAGACTGACAAGCTTATGTGACGCAAGAGGTGGAGAAATGTGTAAAATGTAATCCCTTCAAGTGCTCAAAGCCATTACTTTTGGAAATTTACCCTGTAACAGCGATAAACCCTCCAAAATAAAGTGACTAACTTCTGCCCACTTGTCATATTTGCTATATGCCCACCTAGTTTATTACTAATTGACAGAAAAGTAATTCTTTCTATTCTCTCCATAGCAAACAAAAAGCTGCATTTTAAAATTAGTCTCAAACCAAAAGGTTCAGTAACCATCATGTTCCAAATGGTTTCTTTGGTCATCCAAAGGGGGTCTTCATCCAATCTCAGGTGAATTCTTGCCTGCACAGGATCAGAGGCAGTAAAACACTTATGGAAAAATACAAACCTGCAAAGCGTCTTCTTTACTTGACTATTTCAGGCAGCAAAGAACTTGCAGCACTAACAGATTTAGTTCCATACTTCCTTTAATCTCAAGTGTTATTTGCTTATGGATCTTCTATACAAACGGGTACCCATCTTGTATCCCATACAGCTGGAGAACGAGGACTCCTAACATATATGCACCAATGTGCCCCCAACACCCTTCTCTGCTATTAACCTTATTGTCCTTCCAGTACCTAACGGGGGCCTACAGGAGAGATGGGCAGGGACCCTTTATCAGGAAGTGCAGCAATAGGACAAGGGGTAATGGTTTTAAACTGAAAGAGAGGAGACTTAGATTAGACTTTAGGATGAAATTCTTTAGTATGAGGGTAGTGAGACACTGGAACAGGTTGCCCAGGGAAGTTGTGGATGCCCCATCCCTGGAAGTGTTCAAGGCCAGGCTGGATGGGGCCTTGAGCAACCTGGTCTAGTGGGAGGTGTCCCTGCCCATGGCAGGGGGTTTGGAACTCAATGATCTTTAAGGCCCCTCCCAGCCCAAACCATTCAGCATCCTTCCTTACACCAGGACTTTCGTCTTCTAGCGGTGTCTCTTCTTCACGTTGCCCTATGCATTTTGCATCACGCCAACCCCAGGGTCGCTGCTTCGCTCACCCCTGGGTCTGTGCCCTGTCCCAAGCCAGTAGTGAAGGAGCTCCCACTTCACAGCTGCAGGCAGCTAAAATCCAGTCGGCCAAAGATGGTGTCTGCACTTGAAGGCAGCTCCCCACTGCTCGGGGAAACCTCAGCAACAAGTAGGGCAGTGAGACACACCGCGTTTTAGTGGTTTGCACACATAGAAACCACCGGTTGGAAAACTCCACAGGAAAATCCCTGCTGAGGCACCTACTTTATTCACTGATAAATCGAACACTAATTTTGGCCAGCATTTTTAAATAAGGGAATTCACAAACAGGCAAACCTTTCACCAGCAGCACACTGGCACTTTACATTCTGAATCCACTGATTCGTTTTCTATTGTAACATCACCAATTACAACATTTAAAACAGAGGCGGAATTCAAGTTCTTTACAAAGACTTATATTTCAAGAATTAAACCATTCGTTGTCTCAAGTGCCAGTTTGATAAACATATACATAATTGCAACAGAAATAGCTTGGCAAAGTGAGTTCAGTGCCACTGACAGTTTTTTCGAAACGCATTTTGAATCTGGTTCAAGCTATCCAAGACCACTTAAATCTGCCTTGTAAGAACAATTATGTTCAACTGCACCTATTAGAAGAGTAAGACTGATGACTTAATGTTTTGAACTTGGGATCTAAAACCATGAAAAAATGCAGAATACCTCTAAAAATGGCTGAAACAAAGATTCTGCTGATAAAATCCTTGTTATTTCTGAGTACAAAAGTACAGCTAATGTAATTTAGCATATAATACCCTCAAGCTCTGTGTCTATGAATTTAAAAAAGACTCCCATCTAGCAAAATGAAAGCCATCCAGATCCAGAAAGCCACCCAAATCCAGAATCCCTCTGCTTACCCTCCACTGTCTTACCACATTTTCCATCACTATCTATCTTCCTGTTGACCTTGCCTTTCCTTGGCACTCTCACACATGGACCGGGGTGCACTGCTCTGGCCATGAAAAGCTCCTTGAGACAACAGTAATGGGTGCTAACTTACAGTTAATTTTAATTCTTAGAAATCTTTATTAGTGTATTTGCAGTTAAGAATTACTAAAAGTTACATCTGAAATTCCTTCCCAGTGCTGCAAACTCTGGCCCAAATCTTACTAATTTTACTTAAATAATAACCTGGCTCAGAATACCCTGCCAAATTATATTTTCAGTTATCCAGGATGAAAACTCAGTATGAGCCATGATTTCCAATAGGAAAATTTCTACCATGTGTCCATCCTTCCTTGGATCCAAGCGGTGAGCTTGTTGAACAGTAATTCTGAAAGGAGTTCCTAACAGAATACCAGCCTCGAGTTTAGTGTTGCAAATTATCTTTGTATCAAAGCATCAAACATCAAACATCCCCAATTGTAGACGGTACTTCTATTTTTGTTTTTCAAATGTCGGACAAAAAGACTTCTGGAGTTGGGTGATCCTGTAAAATAAATCACTACTACCTAAATGATATTTCTTACGCTGTTCCGTCATCAAGACTACACAAGTTTATAATTTCTCAGTGGAATATGGATGTTTTCCATATTAAAAGCAGCAAAAATTAAGACTCATAGGAGCTTTTAATTAAAAATCATCATCATATCTGACAGCTAAAATAACTGCTTCTCAGAAAAATAAAATGCATTAAAACCTTATTTGCCTGCTACAATAAAATTTTAAGAAAAATAATACCTCAAATGTAAACTGTTCAAGTACAGCCAGTGTGCAATGACACTAGTTATAAAATATAATTTAATAGTGCTTTGCTTCAAAATATACATAATATCAACAAATACTTGAAACCAAGAAACTGAATATTTACCATGTTTCAAACAGAGTTTCATCAAAATGAGGTAAATCTATGTCACCTGCCATTGAGCTCGGTGCTGAAATGGAGAATAGGTCTTCAAGGATATCTTCCCTTGTAGGGCTTTCAAAAGCAAGTTTTTTCACACTGGGTTTGCTTATTGCATGAAGTTCCGAGTTACTGTCCTTTACAGGACTGTAATAATTGTGGTCCTCACTTGTCACCGCTGCATGTGGCACACTGGTCTTCTCATCAGCCGCTGTTGCTGCAACGCTGCTATCCACCATTTCCATATACATACATTCCTCTTCACTTTTTGGAGCCTCTAAGGAAGCAACAGTTGAAGTAGGGGACAGTAATTCCGCCAGTATTTCATCACTGTTGTTATGGCTGGTGCACTCGGATTCACTATCTGCAACATCAATCTGATGCTGCAGTTCCTTTAAAAAGCTCTGCAATAATTCACTGTCGTTGTGAGATGCCACCTGTGATGGGGTGCTTACACCTCCACTCACAGGCTTTTCATGTTTCATCTGTTCCACTGCTAGCCTATCCAGTGAAGCCAACTTCTTCTTTTTAGCATTAAGTTTTTTTAACAGTTTTAGGCGAAGTTTTTTGGTTTTGTCACTATCTGACTCTTCTGCCTTCCCAGAGTTAGAGCCAGGTGAATGGAACTGAGTCACTTTACCTGAGGTACCCAACGTACTTCCTGACTTATTCCAAGCTGGACCTTCAACAGTGGTATGACTTGCTGTTGGAAGACGAGTGCTTTGAGAAAACCCTTTGAAATGTGATAAAGGATGACTATTATTACTCTGAGGAACCACTGACTTCGGGGTCTCAGTTGTTTTCTTTGTACCTCTGCTTTGAAAACCACCAAAGTTACTTGCTCCCTTAACTGGCAATCGCACTTCACTTATTTTTTGCATTGAGGGAGTTTTGCAACTTCTCTCATTCTTGAGAGCTGAGGCACTTGAAGGCATAAAAGAAGTATTCTTGCTTAATAATTTCTTTACCCAGCTTCCTACAAATCCTCTTTTTTGGTCTTTGTGTGAAGGCTGAAAGGAATTATTGGCAGCAGAAGAACTGGCAACCTGAGAATTAACTATAATTTTGCTTGCATCTTTCAAGTCAGATGGTTTTTGTATAATATTTTCTACTGGTGACAACTTCTTGTTTAGCTGTAGTTCTGAATTTGATCCATGTTCTCTGTTAGGTACATTAGTTCTGTCATCTGTTCTTTGAGCAAGCGACAAGCCAGGGTCATGGTTTTTGGCCACAGGAGGAGTAATATTTGCTGGGTTCAACTCTTCCAGAGGTAAACAAATGCTGGAATTTTCATATGAAATGCATTTATCGTTCACAGCTAGACTAGATCCAGCAAACTCTCCTGTATATGGAGCGTTAGGTGAAAAAGCTGATTCCTGTTGTTGTGGTGTGCCCATTTCAACAAGGTTATTTCCCACCATGTGTCCGTTCAGCAGCGATTTACCTTCTGAGTCAACCTGAATTTCTTCAAGCGTCAGTGTTACAAGATCATCATGTGCCAGATTTTCTAAACCATGATGAACGATACTTTCATTCTCAGGTACCTGCTGCTGTTTCTTATCTGGAGTTCTCACAGAATCCTCTTTGCCATGTTCTGCAGGTATTTTGTCTACCGTGTTACCAAAACCACAATGCAACACTGTGGAATTTGACTGTCCATTACTAAGAGGAAAACCTTCAGTGTTTTTACTCTGGAACTGTGAATTCAGTTCTTCTGGCGTATGGGATGTTTTCTTTTCCCAGATAACAATATGAATCTCTGAAGGAGGAACTTCAAATCTTTGATGTCTCTTGCAATATGGTCCCTTTAAATCATCACATTCAAGCCAAGTACCTGAAAAAGAAATAGCAACCAGTGTAGAGACTCAGAGACTTTTAAAATTGAAGTCACTACCCTCAGACATTTGTCAAATACTATTATTAACCCACTCCCCTGACAAGCAAAAAATAAAGGGTTTCCTCTCCATTCTTTATTACATCAGAGAAAACTGGGAGATTTTCACTGTAAAATATCACATACAAGCAGAATTTGCAGCAATATTATTACAGGTCAGAGTAGCTGTTGGTTTTGGTTGGGTTTTTTTGAGTTAATGATTCTGACATCTTGTCTGAAAATACCTGCACAGCTCTAAGGAAAGAACCACCTCTCAAATTAAGTTTCTCAGTAGACCTTTACATTGCCTGGGTGAGAGGCACAGGGGTTTAACAGAAACTGCTCATTTTAATAATCTGCCTCATTATCTGCAAATTGTTCATAGATCATGACCAAATATTTTACAGCTTTAAGAATTTAAAAATAGAAATATATGATGTATAGGATGTTCCTAACTAGGCACTTCCCAGCTGCTTGCTTCCTCTTCCTATTTCTTCTTAAACTCTGGCAGTATGATTTAGACAATTTCCATGTTGTCAGAACACTTGATAAGACTGCACTCCATTCTCTCTCCACAAGCATGAGAATCAAAATATCAACTTTTCACTTTCTTCGTTTATGGAGTTCCCATCAACGGTACAAACATCATACCATTAGTAATGTTTCTAACATGGATTTGTGCCTCAGGTGCAGTAAAGTTCAGAAATGAAAAGAAACTTCATTAATGCTGGTAGTTACGTAGGTTCTCTTCCTTTCAGCCAAGAACAGATTAATAACTAGCTTCAAAATAACCAATACCATTTGTCCCACAGTCACGCTCAGACTGTATGCTTTAACTTTTACAAAGTTATGAAAGGAAACAACTCTACCCAAGTAACTTTTGCCAGCGAGTACAGCGTAGGGCAAAACACTGCTGAACAAACCAGTTAAACCAAACTGAAACCTTCACCCTGACTAGCAAAGTTCCCACAATTATTCACAAAATTTTAGTATGAATTTTAGAATACAGACAAAAGAAATCCTTGTTATTATATACAGACTGTTGAGACTATCGCAGTAGCTCACAAAACAGTATTTGATATAGACTCGTGAAGTATTATAATAGAATACATGGTTCTTACCATCAGGATTCAAAGACCAGGTTATGAAGTGCTTCTTATCTGTTTGATACTGAACAATAGATGTTATTTGGTAGGTATCTTCTTCAAACTGAAATGAATAGTCCTTCAGGTTGTTATGTGGCAAGCCTTCTACGAAATGTAACATTAATATTGAAGGTACTCTAATAAAAGAAACAATAAAATACCAGTTTATTACAAGAAAATAGTGGTAAAAGTTCATAACTAAAAAGTAAGGCGTCTCAAAGAGTATGTTAGTCCTGCCCTTACTGTTCTACCTCTACAAGATTCTTCAGATTGCATGGTTGTCAAGGGATAAGAATACTCCAATTGGACAGTCCATTTTGCTATGGATTAGGAGAAAAAGCCAAGACAACATAAGGGATTTTGGGAGTGGGGAAAAGGTGAAAAAAAAAAAGAAGACAACAACTGTGCCATAACCACAGTAGGAAAGGACACTGTTCCCAAGTCAAACTAGTAAATAGATGATCAGGCAACAGTTTTATCCTTCAACAGCAGGGGCTGTGGAAAGGCTGACACTGGGTATCAGTTGTCTGTATTTACTACTTGGTAGGAAGTATTTATGACCTGGCTGAAACACATGTGCTGGTCAGCATGTTAAACACTGCTCTGTGTTTCATGCTTATTAAAAACTATTTGCCATCTCAGCATTTAAGAATGATCTAAAAATCTTCAAAAGTGAGTATTTATGAGAGTTTAAAGTTTAGAATCTCTGTAAACTCATGATAATAGTTTGTTTTTTAAAGTTAAAAGTTCAATAAATTAAGTCTCAGAATTTTATATATTTTATTTTCACGTTCACATATCCAAACTCACTTTTCTAAAATCATCTGTCGTCTTTGAGATCTGTCACTACAGTTATTACACGGTCCAACATGAACAGCATTAAGTGGATGCCAATCAGGGATTATATTTGTGAATGTTGTTAGCGTTTTCCTAAACCTGGACACACACATACAAAAAAAAAAAAAGAGTAAATTGAGTTGCTGATCAGAAAACAATGAATATACATACTTTACTAGGAGGAAAAAAAAGTTATACAAATGTTTAGACAAAACCAAATTCTATTCACATTCATGCTATTTGTATGAATTCCACTGTGACTGCATCACATCCAAGTCAGCACTGAATTCAGTTCTGCCAAACAGTATCAGTCACCATTTGTTCTCAGCAGCTCCGTGGCCTTCAGTTTCACATTATTTGCTCTTTCTCCCTTAGCATGTTATCTCTGTTTCCTTTCCGACATAAGAGAGAGCTTGTACCAGGATTTGTGTAATTTACTAGCTAATACAGAATCTTAAGGAGAGAAGGAAGCGGTAACAAATTACCTCAGAATCCCTGTTATACAAGATCTTGTTTTCAAAAAACTTCAGAGCTGAGATTACACAGAGGGTATATTGTATGAAAATACAATGTACGGGATATTAAAGTGAAATAATGTAGTTTATTCATTCATTAGCCACAGAAAGGACTTCCTTTATATTCAACCTACCCTAGATTTTCCAACTTTAGAAAAAAATAACACAGTATGTAACAAAGGTTCTTGAACACATCCTATTAACCAGGACTACACATTAACTGGCAGTGTAACAGACAGATTAATCTCATCTCGCTTGGGGATCTAGAATTTTAATGTATAAACCTAAGATAGTGGAGAGAAACAGGTATTTTTCAAGTAAAGTGAAGTGAGCTGTCTTCTTAAGGTGCCTCCCTTTTTCTGCTGACTCTGAAAGGAGCCTAAATGACTAGCTTGTACCTGCAGCTACACAGAACTAATCAATTCTCAATAAATTACTTCCCTGGAATACTATTATAAAATGGACAAATTATGTGAGAGAATCTCTGATTCTTTATAATGCAAATGAGTATTACAGATATTCTTCAACAGCAACAGTGTACTAGGCATATATTCTTTAGAACTGCAACAATTTGTATACTCTTAGCAAAATACCAGAGTGAGCTTGGCCAAGGACTCACACAGTTACCTACTAATTCTTAATTAAATGATAACATGGTTTCCTAAGACATGACATAGCAGTAAATTATTTGCAAATGCTAGCCTAAAAAAGTGGGTCACATAAAACTTCCCCAACAAGCTTAAACTGTACAAAACCTAGAGATCTGAACTATTACATGCAGATTTAAAAAGGTATGCTAGAACAGTTATATAGAAGCTACTTTAAAAAAATATAAATCTCACCGTTCCTGGTATTTGTAGCCACAACATACACATTCAAACTTCCATGAAAACGAATGCAAGAATAGTTTCTCAGCTTGTTGATCCAGCTGTAGGAGCAGAGGGAGCACAAACACTGGACTATCCTGCTTACCTTCAAAGATGGAGCAGAAAAAAGTCACTGAATATTTGAAATCAGCTTTCAGTACTTCAAAAATGAAGAATATAAGCTTATTGCTATGATATGAAATCCAGTTATCCCTTCAAGGCTGTATTTCTAATCCTCACAGCAAAGGGATTGATCCATGTTATTAGGTTGTTATCAATGTTATCAACTTCATGACCACAGCAGAGTTACAAAGACGAGAATACGCTCTCTAAAAAGTCAAAAACAGTCAAGGGACAAAGCAGCTGATCACAATGTAAACTATGTGCGTGTCACCAATAAAATAATTTTAAAAAAGGATTTGCAAGCTGTCTATTTGCATGTATACATTCATATTTTTACATACTGACATGCTACAAGGCTTTACATGTGGAGTTTTCTGAAAGTCAATACTGAGATGCTGCACTAGTTACTTACCCAATTCACACTTAAGCTGAGGTTGAAGCTGTGTAAAAATTCTGTTTCTGATTTCATTGAGATGCGATTCTGCTTTTGGAAGAACATCTAAAGAAAAAAAATATATATGCTTTCATGTATTTATGTGTAACACCCCCCACCCTTTCACACACTCATATATCCCTGACACGCAGTCACTCTCTGCAAGCTGATGCCTTTCATATTGACCTGTTTGCCTAAAACTGTTGGTAAAATAGCCAATGTTTGGTGTTAATCGATTTGAAAATTACAGAAGAATCTACAGAAGTTATAAACATTTTACTGCAGTTTGCTAACCAGTAGTTAATTACTCAACCTGACTTAAATTATGGCTAAGAGCCTATACCTATAGCTAGATAGTAATGACATTTAAGGATAACGTAATCAGACATTGCAAACACTGGAGATTCAGAGATTAAGAGTAGATTTTAAAACTTAAACATTATGACCAAAAGTGAAAAAATTTGCTTACATGCTTTGTAATGATGTCATACAATTCATAGTAAAAAATTTAATTGTGCTGTTCCAGCTTAAATAGTAATTTGCTAAAGTTAGTCTTTAAAATAGTAATTAATTTTAAAATAGTGTACATTATATATTTTACTATGTATTTTAAATTTACAAGGTACCTTGTTCATACACGAACACATCTTAAAGCAGAAGCAAGAACATAACTTGTACTACATAATCATGATCACAACCTGCACAAATTAAAAGATTTAGAATAGCTGTGAAAATGATTTCTAACTTACAAAACCTATGTAAACAAAAAAGATGAAAAGAAGTTCCTTGCAACTCTATTGCTTTTGATTGTTTTAAAAACCAACCATATGTAAAAGATGCTGAAAAATTACACAGAAGGGCAGTATAAACACTACACCTATTCTCTACAACAACACTCCTCACCCAATCCCCTCTCCACTGTTGCACAAATAAACTAATTTGTTTTGCAGCAATTCCTGGAAATGAAGAAGTTTGTTTTCTCAAATGACACTATATTCCAACACCCAACATCCCCATTTAAGGGCTCTTGCACACCAGAGCTCCTTTGCAAACACGGCACAACAGAGGGGAAAGGAAAACATCTCAGACAAGTTCTGTGATGGTAGAGGGCTTCCAAGTAATAGTCAAAATCCTAAAATATAGGGTGAACTGCTTCGGAGTATTTTTGGATTTTTTTTTTCCCCTCTGTAAATAGTTGTTTTCTCTGCCACAAGTTGAATTAAGCCATTTTTGATATACCTATTATTTTTCCCAGGAAAGATACAATATTCTTCAAGTTATCTAATGCTGTTCTGGGACTATAGTCTCTGTATTCAAACACTTTACTTGGAACACCTATCAGAAAAAAAAACCTATAAAAGATACTGGCTAACCAGAGATTTGTATTAATTCTCTAACAGATGAGCTCTTAGAACTTCAGACTTATGACACCAATGGGTCAGTTTAAAAGGACTAAGAAAAACCGATCTTCGTTTACGAGCCTTCAACTGAATCCACAATACAGAAAATGATCAAGGTGACACATTACAATGTCACATCTTCCTCTGACTCCAGCTGTGCTGCCTGGAAGGTTGCCCCCAACTGCCCACCACTGCCCTTGTGCTTGAAGGTTACAGTCCTCCAGCCTTTGAGTACTCACTAGCTCCTTCCAGGTAATATGAACCAGGTTAATGTGCTTGATTAATTTGGACTGAAACAGGCTAGGAAGCACTATCATCCACAGCACAGCTTGCAGACCTCAGGGGAAGTGTTCCTTCAATGAGTGCAGCTGGAGCCAGAAGAGAACATATGTTCCCAGCTTTACTATTTTTGGTGTGACAAGACAACTTCCCATTTATACAAGGATATAATCCACAACAGAAATTATTTTTAAGATTAAGATTAGAAAAGAATCCTAATATGACAGGGGGAAGGAAACAGAAGAGGGAAACAGACAGAGGGAAAGAAACAGTCAAGCTCAATTACATAAACAATTCACATATTCTCTATGTGGAATAAGACACACACACAAAAAAATAAATCAATAGATGCTTAGAGTTTGATGATTTCAAAGTGTGCATGTTTACCTCAAGAAAAACAATTTCAGAGGTTACCAGGATTCTGCTAGGTAAAGCACACTACTCTGCAAATTCATGGTAGTTCATGACAACTCATTCTTTTGTGACCTTAAAATATAACTGCACATTTAAGTGCACTGTGCACATTCCACACATTTGTACCAGACCAGATCAGCCTGAATATGAAGAAACAGCAGCTAAATTTACTCACCTTTTACTTTATTCCTTTCATTCTTTTGTGACCTTGAAATATAACTGCATATTTAAGTACACTGGGCACATTCCACATATTTGTACTAGACCAGATCAGCCTGAATATGAAGAAGCAGCAGCTAAATTTACTCACCTTTTACTTTACTCCTTTTACAGGTGTTCAGAAGTACAGTTGCTTGATTATAATTTGTTAAGAGTTTCTGGAGTAAACATTTTCCATCATTATATTCTTTTGCTAGAGCAAACTGTAATATTTCTAAGTGTACCAGTGCTGATAAAATACAATCTAACCAACAAAGATTATGTGTGTTTCTCCACTGAAGACATAACTCTGTGTCGTTTGTGGAACCTTTATCCTCTTTGTGCAAAATTTCAGAAGTTGTTGAGCAAAGTTCAGAGTTCGGCAAAAGTTGTGTTCTGGGACTAGGAGTCTTAGGTGGACTTTCCTGATAGTTGTTGGTGTTTGTTTCAAAATCCACCTTCTGCATGCTGGGCTCCACATTGTTACTAGTTTTTTGCGGCTCCTTTTGTAATACATCATGTAGGCTTGACTTGGGAATACATAAGCTATTCTGATAGCATTTGACAACAGGGTCTGTATTAATAGCGTGCTCAGCATTTACCACATTATTAGCCCTTGCTTTTTTTGAACGTGATTCAACGGAAGAAAAGTCACCGGTATCACACAATTTCCTTTTCTTAGGAGTAGATGGAACTTGATGATTCTCAGAATCAGCAGAAGTAATTATGCTGTTTAATGGTTTATAACCAAGTGGGTAGATACACTAAAGGAAAGAAAAAAAAGTTACAGTGAAATCTATAAGGCAATTTCAGGTGAACAAGAGATAAAAGAAGTACAAACCATACTCTTAAAACAGAATGTAGAATCAATACATAAATTCAACGTATGTATGCCAGAAATGGTGTTCTATTCAACCGCTGCCTTATAAGCAATTGTGAAGTAAATATATCAGTAACGATAATCAACACTACTTTTCCAGTAAATGCTTTCAGCCCCTGAAAACAAGCTAATTTTGCTGAGGAGAGTCCTCTTGTCTTATTCTGTTAAATTCCTTCCTTCAGGGTACAGATTTGGCTTTACCATCCCATGCCTGAGAGACTACTGGTGCCGAAACTGGCAGGGTATCTTTCAGGCTAGCCAGCTGCATCAGTCCGGGTATTGGTAGGGTCTTATATATACAGCTAATTCTACAACCAGAATGTAGTCAAATCCACTATTACTGATCTCCAGAATGATACTATGATTATTTAAAAGCAGAGAGGGATGGGAAAAAAAACTCTGAGACCCATATCTAGTCTAGTCTCTGTCTACTAATTTAAGGGCACCAGTTTATATGGGATTGCTGTACCCTCCCCACACACACGGAATAGTGGAGAAGGGAAAGGCAGCAAAATCACAACTCAAACATTTAGCAGCACAGAAATCCAGCTAAGGTTAGATTTAAAAGGGGGAAAAAAACTCAACCAAACATTGTAATTATAATTACAAACCTGTTTGCATTACCCAGACTTAAAGGAGGGAAAATAGAAGAATCACATCTGCAGGAGTTGTGTATTAGTTACACAGATTATCAAAGTTTTGCCTTTTATTCGGATTCCTACAAAGATTTATTTAGTACCACTTCTGTTGCTTTGCTCTCCTTCATTCATTTTAATCTACTCTTTAACTCTTTAGGGTAGCTAGCTATGGTTACACACTGCATGTACACAGGTTAGTTATGATTTTGTCTATATACAGATAAACATCCAGCATATAGACTCAAATGAATCCTATTTCAACAGGCTGCTTATCACCAGCAAAATCTTGAACTTAAAGTAACTGCTGAAAAAAGCTGATAATCATCATAGTACCTGAGGATTTTCACAAAGGAAAATGGACTCTTGAAAATTAATGCGGTAAGTCCGTAAAACTTGGATCTGGCCCTTCTCTTTGCAGACTGGACAATATTCATGTGCAGCTGTTTCCAGAGGATTACAGTTCTTAAAAAAAAAAAAAAAAAAAAAAAAAAGAAAAAGCAGTATAAACTTATCTATTTCATGTTAGCCCAAGGTGAGACATACATACATACCAAAATAGAAAACCAACGTGCAACTTCTTAATGTAATACCTCATACAATATAAAAAAGTAAACTAGATTGTTTTGGTTTTTTTTTAATATTTATAACATATATATTCATGTGGTAGAGTGTTCTAAATAAATTTATCTTTTGATTTAAATATTCAAATATTTAATAAGGTATCTTTAGCAACACAATTATGCAATGTTTCTTTCTACTTGAACTAAACCACAGGACCTTATTGCCAGGGAATACAAGCTCAGATCTTTGAAACACAAATCAATTTTCATAGGAATGCAAACAGTTGTAAAAATAGTGCCAGTAAAAAAATCATAGGCACATATTTACTTAGGATAATCTTTCGCCATTGTTATAGATTTCCGTGGAAAATAATTTTGAGAATTTTTTTTGTAAAATTAAGACCAATTCAAAATCTCTCAAAGCAGAGAAAAATGAACTTTGCACACATGTAAAATAAGTTTCAACTGACTTTTCCCAAATACCCCACCATGTGGAGTGTCGATTTCCCTATACCAGTCCCTTCTCCAATCACTTGCAAACCATTTGTAGTCTTCTGGGTATCCATCATTCTGAGCCACTGGCTAATTTATGTCACTTGTAACAATGTCATGACCACTAAGGATTTTTCAAAGACTCCTGAAAAATAAGAAGTGAATAAAACAATTAAAGAAAAATTAGATCAAGTTTTGGGAAAAAAGATATACCAACAATAACGTAGCCTGTATTTTCTGTAAGAATGGATTAGGAAGAGCATTTTCTTAACTGAGAAAACTTATTTTCTAGTGCAGATTATGAACTCAAAACTTTAAATTAAATCACAACAGATTTAGCAGCTTTAGGCCCTGAATTTGCAAGTTTATCTATTCTTTGCACTCTACAACGTCTCAAATATTTTCCAAGTGCACTATAGTTTACAGAAACATAGCTGAGCATCTCAGCTTATAGCATCCAACCTTCAGAAAGAATGAACTTCTTTAAAAATGGTTACAATAAGATCCCATACAGTTACAGGTGGCTGATGAGGAACATTAAAAAACAATCAACCTAAAAAATCCCACTGTTGCATCTTTCAAAACAGTGAATTTAGTGCATAATAAACTAGTAAAAGTTTATACTGCAAATATAAGTAGAGGAGAGCATCCTGCTGTTACTGCCACTTTTTGGAAGCTTCTCCTGATGTTATTTTAACAATGTTATAGACTTCATAGCAAACTAAAGCTCTTTCACAGTCTCACCGCTACATAATTTTATTGTGTATTTTAAAAGTGGCATTGAATATTCTATTTAAATGATTTCTCAAATTCAGGGGCGCGTGTGAGCCAATGCAGGCAGGATGCAGGAACAACCACACAATCACGGATTAAGGGCAAAGAACAAATTTAATCTCAATACCTCATGGATCGGGGAACCTCTGAAGCAGCACCCGGGCAGAGGCAGGCAAGCAGGGACCACAGGCCCCGCAGAGCCAGAGTCCTTATTAGCCTGAGAGTCCTTGTTAGCAAGGGAGTGAGGGTTGCTGTTTGGGTCTGTATTTCAAGGATTCAGGCAGGCAGAGTTTTCTGCTCTGCTTTGATCACTTCAACAGCAGGGCAAGAATCTCAGGCGTTATTTGATAAGGTGCCCCTGAGTCCGTCCCAGGACTACGTTATCTAAGTGCAGATGTTCTACTTGTTGAGCACACAAAACTAAGCAACAATTAGTGTGATAGATGTGTTTTCCAGCACCCCACATGCGAGTCACTTGAGTGTATTTACAGTCCTCCTCACCAATCTTCCGTTACTTTCCCACAAGGGGCAAATATTGCCTTTCTCACATAACAGACACAGACACATTTTTGGAGGATAACTGCAGTATGAACCAGGTCCACATCAGATGGCAACTCCTTAAGTCTATTCCTTCATTGGCACTGAGGCTAAAGACACCCTGAATCAGCCAGAAGAACAGAGGTTTAGAGCTACAGGGACCCAATTCTGCTCCTGCTGACTTCAAATGGAACTAACTAGAATAAATACATATCTCTTCAAGATGCAGGAGGAAGTTCAGGTAAGTTGAATTGCAAAGTCATCAGTGTAACAATATCTTTCCCTCAGCCCTGACTGTTCCTTTTTCATTACTTCCACTGACCATGATATCCTTTCAACCCTTCCTTACAGTACAGAACTAACTCAGATGACAGCTCCTTTTGGAAAAAGAAATTTCCCAAGACATTCTTGGAGATCTGTGTAAATACCAGTTCAATCCCAAAACATTCATAATACTGGGCAAGGAGAGACTGTACAGGACTGGACATAGTGTTGAAAACCAACAGAGCATGAATTAAAAAAGCACAGTAGGAAAATGTAACAATGCATTTCAAATCGGTCCCCAATGGCAACTTGAGAGGGTCAAAATGAGATGATGGTGTCTCCTACTGACACTTTCAACATGTTCAGCAGCTCTTTTCAGAATTACCAGGCTGCAGCATGTAAAGACAGTACACCCTGACTTACAAAACTAATGGTTCTAACAGAAGGTAAGAACAAAAATATCAACCCATACGCCTTAGTGCACATGTTTAGTTTTCAGAATTGGATGATATACAAGAAACAGCACGGTCCTGGGCTCACTCAAGGTAAAAATGATGAATTAACTCAAAGTATACAAGCTTGTTGGACTATAAAAGACAAGCAAGCTCTCCAATTTTTCACACAGTGGCAATAGCACTATCACACTGTGACTCAACTCTATTATCATATATTTAGTCTAGCCAGGAACTTGGTTTTTTTTATACAAGTTCTGCAGATACCAACCACACTAAAGCACATAACAAATTTACCCTCCATGCTACAGTGAGTAAGAAAATGTCTCTCACTTGTTCAGGGGACTTTTAGTCAATTTGTTGGCCTGAAGCAGCCTCAGCTCTTCAGAGTAAATAAAATACATTGATCACAGGAGGGGAACTCTAGGCAATTTCTCACCACATAAATGCAACACACACTCAAAAAGGTTAGTAACACTAACAACCTGCAGGTTATTCCTTTGTAAACATGTCCTGGTTTTATAAAATGTATTTCTTCCTTTGCAAGTCCCTGTTTTCTCTGTCATCCCTCTCAAAAGGAAAGCAAGTATTTTTTTCCAGTGACTGTTACTTCTGCTCTTCTTTTTAAAGCTTGAATACTGTTCTTGAGATGTACAATACCTCCCCCAACTATAATCACCCAGCAATAGGACTACAGTACTGGAGTCTAAGGCTTTTATTGCACTTATGGATATAACAAACCTTAAAAAAGAAATAATTGTCCTTTTATTTCGAAGACATAAACACAAGCAAATAAAACAGGTCTGCCAGTACTAGATATGCAGAGCAGTACCAAGTGGCCTGCCTGTACTTTTCAGTATTCGTAAGATTACAGCAAGTTATTCATGATCTTTGCACAACGTACAAGACTTGGGCATCAGATCAACGGTTGCCAAGAAAAACAGACAAGTAAAAGACTGTATCAAGCACTGAAATAACTCATTGTAGCAACAGGTAATATGTGCATTACAGATGGGAACGTACATAGGAATGCACTTTCAAGCTTACTGGGTCACGTTTTAAACCATTTATGCTACTTTCCTTCTTTTATCCTAGATACTTGAAGAACGTAATGCAAAATATGCTGTGGACCTGGCATAATTATTAAGGCTATGCTTATGCTTCCTTGAGGAGATGAGGTGATCTGATGGCTCGCTGCTGCAAAACAGGAAGGCCTCCTCTTTTCTCTTCTTTCTCTCCCCCCCACCTTCCCTGACAGCTCACATCATCGCCACTTTCCAAAAGCTAACCGAACTCACAAACCAGCAGAAAATTGTGTAAAGCACAACTTTTTCTGCTATTCTCGTCAGTTAAATTGCCTATGAAAAGGTCTGACGAGCTCCAGAGCTGACAGGGTGAAAGACAGAAAGATATGGATTTGACGAATGGAGTGTTAGATGGCTAAGAAATTGCTGGATGGCCACATCTGAACAGTAGCAGTCAACAGCTCAATATCCCAAGTAGACACCAGTAAGGAGGGTGTCCCACAGGGTTCCGTACTGGGACCAGTACCATTTAATATCTTTATTAACGACACAGCGGGGTGGGGTGGACCCTCAGCAAGTTTGCAGATGAGACCAAGCCAAGTGGTGCAGTTGATAAACTAGAGTGAAGGGATGCCATCCACAGGGATCTTGATAGGTTACAGTGGTGGGCCCATGTGAATCTCATGAGGTTCAACAAGGCCAAGAGCAAGGTCCTGCATGTGCATCAGGGCAAGCCCCAGTACCAGTACAGGCTGGGGGATGAAGGGACTGAGAACAGCCCTGCTGAGAAGGACTTGGGGGTACTGGTGGATGAAAAGCTGGACATGAGCTGACAAAGTGCACTTGTAGCCCAGAAAGCCAACTGTATCCTGGGCTGCATCAAAGGAAGTGTGGCCAGTAGGTCGAGGGAGGTGATTCTGCCCCTCTGCTCTGGTGAGACCCCACCTGGAGTGCTGCAACTGGCTCTGAAGCTCTCAGTACAGGAAAGCCATGGACCTGTTGGAGTGGATCCAGAGGAGGGCCACAAAAATGATCAGAGGGCTGGAACACCTCTTGTCTGAGGAAAGGCCGAGAGAGTAGTGGTTGGTTAAGCTTGAAAAAGAAAAGGCTTCGGGGAGACCTTATTGCAGCCTTTTGGTACTTAAATGGGGCCTACAAGAAAGATGGAGACAATCTTTTTAGCAGAGCCTGTAGTAATGGGACAAGAGGCAGTAGTTTTAAATTTAAAGAGGATAGATTTAGATTGGATGCAGGGAAGAAATTCTTCACTGTGAGGGTGGTGAGACACTAGGACAGGTTAACCAGAGAAACTCTGGATGCCTCATCCCTGGAGGTGTTCAAGCCAAGCTGGATGGGGCTTTGAGCAGCCTGGTCTAGTGGGAGGTGTCCCTGCCCGTGGCAGGGAGGGGGGGAGTAGATGATCTTTAAAGGTCCCTTCCAACCCAAACCATTCTATGGTTCAGTGGTAAAAGGGACTCAGACCTTTTGATAACACTGAGCTGTACTTTGTGAAACACCACCTTATAAATAGAAATCAGTTACAAACTGCAGTAAGCAGGTGACAGATCATTGATTACATTACAGTGAAGAGACCATCTACTCTTTGTTTAAAGGCTGAAGGGACATTTCAAAATAACCTGCTTGTAAATCATCTTACATCTTCTTTCCTTCATCAAGGAGATATTGAAAAGATTAAAAGAAACAAACAAAAGTCTGACCCCAAAAAAGTGAGAAAAATTTCCATTGTGTTATATGCTACCTATCCATTCTTTATACAAGAAGAAATCAGTTTTAAGTTTTTTCTTTATTTGAAGTTATAAGTATAAATATTCAAGTCACAGCTGCCTCCCCCAAAATTACAATTTTAGCCACAAATTGTGTTCCATTAAGTGCAACAGTAATAAAACATCATTGCTGTCACGAAGTAACTCTCTCTACATACAGCCTCTCAGTGCTAACCAGAATTGCAAATCTCCCTTTCAGTGTAAATTTCTTCTCTGCAAGCCCAACACAGAATAAGGCAAATAAAGGTAAAACTGATAAAGTTGCAAAATAAACCAGCATGCAGGGCTATACTCTGCTGTTCTAAAAGTTTTTCCTGCAGTCAGACTTCTCTTAAGCCTCCTCATATTAAATGCTTTTATGGGTGTATGAGAAGGGACAGGAACTTGTTGACAAATCATTCAGTCCTTCTGAAAAAAAAAAATGTGAGTTAGTGTGGGGAAAAAACGTAGCCTAAACTAGTGTTTAGGTTCACTCTAGCTGTAGCTAAGAGATGCAAGATTTCAGGAAGGGACTTAGTGTATGCAGAGCCTCAGCCTCTGGCCCCAGGCAGTGGAAGTGGGGGTATAGGGGTGGGTTGCCAGCTAGCCCACTGCCAGGGCTGTGCTGGGGGCTGCCCTTCCTTCAACACCAAAAGGTGCTCAACTGCTTCAGATAAACCTATGGTTAAGCAGCCTCCTTAGTTTTTAATCCACATCCAGAGTGATCCATGTGCTATGGAAAGACTGTAGAAGAAAAAACTGTTTATAGAGTTAGTTGTCAGAACATAAGAAAACTGTGCAAGGGGGATATACCTATCTACACAGGTGCACTAGTACCTCACCAAGTCCATCCTTTGGCCAGGTTGGACAGGGCTTTGAGCAACCTGCTCTAGTGGAAGGTGTCCCAGCCCAGGGACACTCGATGATCTTCCCTATCAACTCAAGCCGTTCAATGATTCTGTGGTTCATGAAGCACTCTTCCAACCAGCTTTAACGAACAAAGGTAACGCCCGCCCTGACTACACAGCTACTGACATGAAATACTCAGTCGGCATTTCGGAACCCGTCAGGCAGCCCTCCCACCGCAGCCCGCCCAAGAGGCACCCCCGTGGCCTGCCCGAGGGCTGGCTCGGCGCGGCCCGCGGCCGCCCCTCTCCTCGGCAGCCACCCGGCCTGGCGGGCCCGGCAGCGCGGCCCCGGTCCCGGCCCCGTTCTCACCTGCTGGCCGCCGCTCCCCGGCTCCCCGCGCCGCCGCTCCCGGCCCTCGCCGCCGCGCTGCCCAGCGCCCTACAAAGCAGAGGAAGCCCTAGACCCCAGCTCGCCC